GATAATCCTCGTACGTTATTCCGTCTGATAGGGGAAACAGGCAACTGGGGACCTGATGCTAGCGAAACAATAGGCAACGAGAGTAAGCTTCTGATGCACAGCCTGTCAAAACGCTTGGAGCGTTGGGCCGAACACTTTGCAAGGCAATTTCACCAACCTGGTTTATCACTTTCTTTTTCGGGCATTGAGAGCCCTTCTCCCTTGACCGACTCCTTGGAACCGCTCTCACGTACAGAAGTAGAACGTGTGATCAGACTGTTGAAATTGCATAATTCTGCAGGTGTAGATAGAATTCCTTTAGCCCTTTTCAAACTCGGGGAACCTGCTCTAGTAGATGATTTACACGAGTTTCTAGTGAAACTTTGGGAGCAGGAGACAGTCCCGACGGACTGGAACCGCTCCGTCATTGTCCCAACTTTTAAGGAAGGCAACTGTTCGGAATGCGGCAATCATAGAGAAAACAGTCTGATCTCAATTGCCTCTGAAATGCTTGCGCCTGTCGTCCCCACATACTGATTGTCAATCGCAAAAGCCAGATTCGTGAAAACCAAACCGGTTTTCGTCGAAATCGAGGCTGCATCGACCACCTCTTCACGTTCTGTCATTTGTTTAAGCACCAACGTGTTTACTGGCGACCCACCGTTGTCGTGTTTTTTGACATAAATGGTGCCTCCGACTCAGTCGATCGATGTGTCCTTTAGTACACTCTGCTGAGGAAGTGTGTTTGATGAATGCGTAAACAATATCAGAACGCTGTACGCGCATAGTTCGGGCAGAGTGAGGGATTATGGCAAGCTGTCGCCACCGTTCAGTAACCTTATCGGTGTGAGACAAGGTTGTCCGCTGTCACCTTTTCTCTTTAACTTCGCTATTGATGAAGTCATGGAAACAACGTTCGCTGGACACGACCTAGAATGTGTGGAACTACTTCCTGGTGAGCGACTTCTTGAATTGGAGTATGCGGATGATATTACCCTAATCTATGACAGCTCCAAAACATGCCAAGCAGCGCTGAGCCGAGTCGCACTGCCTGTCTATGGTTTTGGGCTATGCTTTGCTCCATCGAAATGCAAAGTACTTCTCCAAGACTGGCAGGGACCCACTCCTGCGCTGACGCTTGGTTGTCATAAGCTAGAAGTCGTTCAGGAAGTCAATCACTTGGGCAGCTATATTAGCGCCCGTGAGATCGAAGATGAGGTTACGAACCGTTTAGCAAAAGCTCGTAGTGCTTTAGCCTATCTCTGCCACCTGTGACGCAGTAGCGCCATTATTCTCGGCCTGAGGTTCAGCGTTTATAATGCAGCCGACCGTTCGACCCTGCTATATGGTTGTAAACCTGGCCCATCAAGTCGACAGACATAAAGAGGCTCGTCGCATCCGATCATCGCTTCCTTCGCAGCTCAGCTCATATCTGCTGGGAGCACCGGGTGAGCAATTAGCCTGTTTGGTGTCGCGTATTTGGTGCAGGAAGGGCGAGTGAACCGTTCAGCAACATTATATCACGCACCAGGCTCCAGTGGTTGGGCCATGTTTTGCGCATGCAAGCACACCGACTCTCGCGACGTGCATTATTCGCGCGCCGGGGTGCGGTTGGAAGAGGAGAAGAGGAGGCGACGCGATGAATTGGTCGAGAGAATTCTGGAGCCTCACTTCGTTGCTGGCGTCGGTTGGTGCATCCCGACTGCCTGGCTGGGTCCTAGGGACGATGAACACGTTTGGTTGGACACACTCGCTGATATGGCGAAGAGCCGGCCCGATGACCTTTGTGTTGTGAATTTCATTGTCCATCCCTATCCCTTTAGGTTTCCCCTCCAGTCCCGATCTCATGCAAAACGCATAATATAATATTTAACATCATATTTTTTGAGTGTAATTTTTTAGTCTCTTGTCTATTTGTATTGCGGCACATTAGCTGAGGTGTGTTTCACACCCTCAGCTAACGTGTACTGATTATGATGAAGTTCGTACTTGTGAGAAAGAGACGGTGGCCTTCGCATAACGTGAGAAGTCTATCACCGTTGCCAGAAAGACTCACATCAAGTACGTGACTGCCACCAAGATGACGTTTACACAGAAGCAGGCGACCTGCTCGTGCATTGAGATCTCCGGCAAGGACGATGACATCTAAGTTTTTTGCCTTATTCGAATGGTTGTGGAGTCCACGATAGAAGTCTTCCTTAACCGATGCACAGCTGCAGTCAGTTGGAGCGTAGGCAGAAATGACAAACATATCACGCCTTTCTTCACAATGTTTGTAGTTTCTACATTGAGCCTTGAGGCCGAACCGCACACAGCCGGCTGTCAACCGGGAACCAGTCGGGTAATGCAGCCTCCGCTTTGTCACTCAATGTGACACCAACACCAGCTGAGCCGGCTGCTGCTTCCCCCATGTTACCGGACAGACGTAGGTAATACGTGGTTTCAAGAGCAGCCGCAAAACACAACTTAACTACCGTCTGGAATCCTGCAATCAAGTATCGGGAAGGCAACAAACATCGATCACGAGAGACTCTAGAATGCGCGCCAGGCCAGTCTGTTGTCCAATCTGTAAGAGGGTCCGAACATTGAACGTTGCCAACGAGACGGGCATTGGAAGTAAATGCACTGGTTGTGGATTGACAACAAGAGAAAAGTTGGCTTGTGATGGAGAAGCATGAGTGGTAGGGAATGTGGCGGCAAAAATGAGCGACGTAGTAGTACTTGCGAAATCTATTGTTTTCACTGGGGTTACGATATTACCCGGTTGCCCAAGCCGAAGTAGGTACTCACTCCCGAGCCTTTGGTTCAATAGCCTATCTGCGAGGCATCGGAGCGAAGCCTGGGATTCGCACCCATTAGGAGCCGATGGCTGAGTGCTCAGTTTATACGCCTCTCGTTTGGTGAGTAACCAAACAGGGCTACAATCCTTTCCATGTAAGGTGCTGGGATACAATGCTTCTCCATGGTGAAACAGGGGACCGTGACTTTGCGAGTCACATCCTTCACGTCGCAGTGGCTGTGGCTTTTTATAAAGAGGATGCTTGCCAGGCGAAAACCCACCACGTCCTGGAACACTGCAGCCGAACCATTCACTGGACGGAGATAATCCGCGACCACCCAGCTGGCACCACGAGGAGTTTGTTCGGCAGGCCATGCTGGTGGTTGATGTCAAGTAATGCGTTTCAGCTTTGTTTCTGATCCGTAGGGTAACACACTGATCAATCTGCCACCACATACACCGTGACCCTGAACGAATAAATGTATATTTTCGTCTTCACAAATGATTGTGGCCTTACTGTACTTCGTGAAAACTTGCGGTACACAGATTGGCCTCATCTTCGGCCTGACCACCAACGATGGTTATGCAGTCGGTTATCCAGGTGGACTATTCTGTCACGTTGCATAGACTAGTGGTTGTTTGGCGCGAGTGTGACCTGGTGGTGCGTTGGCCGACTTCCGCACTACTGCTTAATCTTTGAGGGTTCGAAGCACAATTGGGAATTTGCGGTCTTATTTGCATTAATCGGCTACGCATCTTAGTATCAGTAACATTTAAATGAGGTTACATCAACTAACCTTCATTGAGTGGCGATAAACCGGCACGGGGAACCACTTCGATGCTCGTCGGCACTCTTATTACGCTTCCAATTTCTGGTCCTGCAAGCGTTAAGAATACTTCCATAGGTACACAGTAGAGACGTTAGTTGGTATGCTCAAGCGTTAAGTCATTTGTACGAAGAATACTCATGTGACTGCGTTCACAGTCATTGAAAAGATTCTTCTTGATCAACCGTCTGGAGACCACATTCTCGAAGAGGCAGCCAGGTGATTTTTCAGACCCACAACGGTCTAATAACATGGTTTAACACCAACTTATTAGTCAAGGCTAGGGTAGACGACGGTACACGTTAATAAGTTCCACTTGATCCATTAGCATCATGACTACTGTATGCACGGAAGAAATCAGGAGACAGGTTATTGTTAGTCGCTTGTATTTGCGAACTTGCCCTTGTCAGGTATAAGTTCCGGATAAGTACTGCTGCAGTCTGCCAGCTGTTATTTTGGAACGGACTTCTTGTCTCTTAAGGTGGGGTTACCTACTCAGCTCGTGTCACACCTTCGGTGTATGACTTAATAACACTTCATTGATCTAGGGGAGACTCCGAGTTGACCTAGTGCTGACCATGTCGAAAGGAATGAAAGAACTTACCGACGGACAAGGTTGGGTTGCTTTACGTCTTCTCCTTGCTATAACGCCTATGGACCGTTACATATTGCGAGATTTCGGAAATTCACGTGTTTGGTGTCATTCTTCTATCCATCTCTTTACTTTGTGTTGCTCCAACGATTTCAGCGTCCCAATAGCTGGGGTGCGCTTTCACATCCTCAGCTAACGTGCATTGGTAACATTGATGATTTATATGCTCCTTTCGAGACAATTATTTGAGTCTCTCCTTCGCATTTCCTTGATTAATTTCAACACGATTTTTTGAAGTTAGCCATGAAATCTCTGTTTGCTGCGTTTTGTCACACGAATACTGACTAATCAACCTCCCAACTACAGCTTATGGAAGGTTCAATTTTTAGATGTGTGGCTCTAAGACTTCTTCGCTATGGAACACATGGAAAATAGCCACCCATGCACACACGCACACACACACACTGAATAGTCAGCATATTGGTTTATCCCCTCTTTATTCCGTATCCATGAATGCATTGCTACAGTCACTCCGTACACTATGTAGACACCAACCGTTTTCCTCGATGTGTTATCATCGGTACTTTGCGAAGCGGTCTTTAGGCGTATATGATGGGGACCGTCACTTTTAGGTACTAAGTTTTTCAATGCTTGCTCTGTGCTATATGCACCTCCGGCACATGTCGGTATACAGTTGTGCTGTTTCATTTACAGCCTTTGTTTTAACCCAACCAACTTTATTTGCCTTTTGGTTTTACCCCCAGGAAAGCAAGCACAAACAACGGTTTCATTTTTTCTCACCCTTGCTAGTTCCCTTACCCTAATGTGTTTGGTCATGCGAACTGATTTTTTCACGGTTTTTATCTACTTTGAAGGTATCATGGCCGGGTCCAATCGATCGGGAGATTTGGCTAATCCTCAGGTCGCTGTCCCTCTGGGCACAATCACAGCTATAGCAGTCACTTCCGCTGTGTGTATCCTTTTTCTACTTCCAACGAGTCTCCTGATTATTTGCTTCCCATCGCGTGTTTTTGGCACCGGGCAAAAACACCCACTACCTTACTGTTGTTGGATTTTATACCGCTAGCGATATCTTATGCTCACTTTCGCCGCCTACTATCCCAAGAATCTGTAATGTTGGAATTTAAGCATTGCATGGGATTCCAGTTCCGTTTGTTGCATGTGTTGTGACGCCACCGTATTATCTCAGTCGGATCACAGCCGTTTGGACAGCACTAAGGCATAAGTGCAAAACGGTCGCGTACTGCTAAAATTTTGCACTTACTCATAGTTCACCGATGATTCTAAGCACAAATACAGTCGATGTGTGCTGCCGTTCAGTTGGCCATTGGGTTGGCTTTGTGTTAGTAACCGTTAGGCTCCCCATTTGTCTGGCTTTAATATATGACGAGAGGAAGCTCTCCTAATGAACCACTGTGCTGACCTTGTAGTAATCAAACAGCTTAGTTTTTGTAGCTTTCACGATAGTTCAGTTCATAAGTCGATCATAATCATGTTTCTAAAGCATCCGATTGGTATATTAAGTATCAGTAAGTGTGTAGTAAAGGTGTGCTCTTGCCTAGAGGACTCACGGTTACTATTCCGCACCCAACCGTCATTTTGCTCTCTAGTGGTCGGCGTCACCGGGTTATTTTTTGTTATCACAACGATGTACATGATTTCATAATTAACTAGAGTAAATCACCGTCTCACTCGGCATTCTGGGATCTCATGCTGATGCGGTTTCTTGCTAAGCGAACTAGACTGGAGTTTTTAGAACCTCTAATGCTCCACATGATCGATCTCGAGTTGATCAAGCGGGACCCAGGTTACTACTGCTTTGTGGGGCACCGAATCGTGGCAGCCGCCGAGTATGTTCCCTCAAGTGGATTCCATTCTACCCCATTGTGAGTCGAGCTTTGAGTTCGAGCTCGAGGCTACAGCTCTCAAGCCAAGACCCTTTTCATATTGAGTAGACGGGTTTTAGCAACCAACAGAAGTCCATCGTTAATGATTTTACTTGATATCATGTGACACGTCCTCTTCTAGCCTTTCGGCACGGCTACTGCACTCCTCAACGTAGTTTCATAGACCTTTCCAGCCCACTTCTCTTTTCCGCTATTTGTGACGGAAAAGTGATGCGCGACAAGTGAGTTCTGTTCCTTTTTGTGCGTCTGCTTATCGTTTTCTCTAACTCACCTCCAGTAGTTCGGATAATAGCTTATCTTATTATTGTGGTATTGTAAACGATATGCTTTCTGTTCAGCTCCGCAACCACAATATGGGTACACTTCCAAGTATACTATGGTGTTCATATGTTTCTAATTCGTTATTGTCCCAAGCAACGAGCAAGTCACTTATTCCGCTAATAAAGTGCTCTTTTGGCACATAC